ATGGAATTTTGAGGACACCCGTTGATCATTTGATAACACCCTACACCTCCCAAGAGCCCTCCTGCAGACTTGGCTAATAAAAGGAAATAATCTGAGAAGTCAAAAGAAGTGAGTGGGTCAGTCAGCGAGTGAGTTGGTCTGTCTCTCTCCACTCGCGGGGAGTGAAGAGGGCCGTTTTATTCTACAACAAATAGCTGCTCTGGTGAAACTGCTCCCTGCCTAAGGTTACTCTGTCGTATTGGCCTTGCTGGTGATTTTCCCGAGGAGTCAGAGGACCGGGATAATAGTCTGGACTTGACACTGGTGTGTCCGGTCATTCTTTGGGCGACAGCTCGCCAGTAATCGAGGGAGGACTCCCACCCTGACATCTCTGATGCTGAAACCCGGGATTCTGACAATCTCATTCACAAGGCCTCCGCCCTCACAACTTAATCATCTACCCGAAGATCCTTACCTCTTAATACTATCAAATTGGAGATTAGCTTTCAACGTACGAATTTTGAGGGGACACAAATATTCAGACCATGGCAGATTGGCAGGTAGAACTGTCTGGCATCACTGTCCCAGGCTCCGGAATGTCAGGTGTCTTTCCTTCTCTTCAGCCCCCTCACTCCCCACGCAGATCCCTGTGGGGTTCAGTCAGCCCCTCAGTTCACATCTGCTTCCCTCGCCCCTGCACAGGTGATCAGAGCCACCTGGCAGACACCCTAGAGCAGGGGCCTGAGGTCATTAACATCAATCTCCTGTATTTCCCACTCTCTGCCTTCCAAGCATGTGGTGGGATGACACTTCCTTGCCCTCTTGCGACTGGATGGGGTCACCTAACCAATGAGGTATGAGAAGTGACATTTGTCACTTCAGACTGGAGCATTTAATTGCCAGATGGAGACCTCTTTCCCTCTGACAGCCTTTGAGATGGCAGCTGCTCTGTCACCCCGGGTCCTGGAGTGAGGAGACGTAGAGACCCCTGCCAGCCCTCAACGGATTTGTGCTGTGCGTGAGAGACACTTTGTATTAGGAGCCACTAAGCTGTCGGGGCTGCTACTGCAGCATGACTTGGCCTACCCCGACTAGCACAAATCTCCAAAAAGCAAAACCAAGATGGAGCTCAGACCCGGCATGAAGGACCTTCTGTCTCTAGAGACCAAATGCCCAAAATGGTTATCTTTGGTGTCTGGGCTCCAGCAGGGACTGGGGATGGCACTGAGTTGGCCCTTAGATGGCACATCTGGGAGAAATCTCAAAGATAATACATCCAAACTCTCCCCTGGCCACATGTGGAGACTGAGGCTCAGAGAGGGCAGGGACCTGACAGCATGCTCTGGACAAGCTGGCACAGACCTGTGACAGAATCCACTTAGGGCCAGATTCTTATTGGCACTCACGATTTTCATTTGACAGATAGGAAGGCTGAGGCCTGCGGAGTCAAAGGCTGACCCCCCATTCAGGGCTCTTCCACATGCACCCCGTCTCTCACAGACAATGTCCTCAGGCTGCTGCTCACAGAATCAGGCAGCATCATGGTCTGGCCTGGGGAGCCCTTAGCCCACCTTGGCACAGGTGGCTAAGACTGCTTATTGCTTACCCAATATCCATGCTCTCCCTCTTCCTTAGTAACAGAACCTCAACAGACCCTGGCAACGTGCCCAGCCAACAGACCATTTCCCAGCCTCCCATGCAGCTCTATGTGGCCATGCGATGAAATTCTCGCCACCTAGGTTGAAGTCTACGTAGGACTTCTTTGTAGGCGTCCTGTAGGCTCAGCTGTGCATGGTGGAGACTCCTAGAACCCAGCTGGCTCTGTTCAAGGCCTGGCTTCAGCACTCTTGGGCTGTTTGGCCTTGGGCAAGATGCTTCACTCTCTGAATCTGGGGACTGCTGTGAACAGATGAGATCAGCTTATGCCCAGTGTCCAGCGGAACACCCAGAGAGCAGGAGCTCGGCAATGGTGCTCTTCCTGTTACTGGCACTCAGCGGTAGGGATGCAGCCGCAGCACCACCCAGATTCCAGGCAGAGGGCAGGACGGCACAGCTGCTCCTCACTGTGTAGCCACCTTTCTCCCTTCTTCCGGGAAGGGCGCCTCCATTTTCACTGCAACCAGATGATTTGTGTTTCTGAAACTCGCAGTCATGAGGAAGTAGCAAACTAACATGATTGAATGCCAGCTGCGTCCTAGGTACTCTACACGATTAACACATTTACTCCTCAGGGTAGGCCCGTAAAGCAGGCAGACGTGGAAAACTGCAACCCACAGAGGCTTAGCAATCCGTGCAACCTCACACGTCTGGGACTCAAACCTGACGCCCCAGCCCACACCATCTTTTAAAGAAGGGTCAGCCATTTAAGTTTATAACTGTGACTGGCTTTTCCAGGAGGGCATTTATTCATCCCGTTGATATTTACTGAGAGCCTACTATGTGCTGGGCATTGCTAGGCCCCTGCTATCGTGGAGCACCCATTCCTGATGGCACAGGGATTTCACCTCGCAGGCCAACTCCAGGTGACAGAGCTGCCTGCAGTATCACGAGAGGATGCCGTCAGCAGGAAGGGGTGTAGTGGCTGATGACTCAGGTCTGCCATGGGTGCTGGTAGGGAGTTTCTGAGTGTATGCTGTATACTGGCCACCCAAAGTTTTAAGACCTTTTAAGACTGTTTGTACAAATAAATAACAAAGCAGAACTATAGCCTGGTCAGAGCATCAGCTGCAATCTTTATTTTGAAAAGATTAGCCATTGTAGACCTAATAACTAGACCCTGCCCTCAAGAAACTTAGGGTCTCATCGGGTGGCCTACGGTACACATGAATACAAGATGGTTATTATTAAAGAATGGAACAGGACAGTCAGAGGCAGGAGACGACGCAGGGAAGGGGACGAGTGAGAGGCTTCCTGGGAGGAGCTCAGCGGATCTGGCCCGGCCAGGTGGCGGCAGGGGAAGGCATCCCAGGGGCGGCAGCAGCACAGCCAAAGGTATGGAATCAGGACAAGTGGGCATGGTGAGGACTCCGGCCTGGCTGAGAGGTGTCTGGGGGAACAAGGCTGAAGAGGGAACAAAGGGAGCGGACCATGGAGGCCTCAAATGTCAGCCCTGAGAGTTTGGTCCTGAGCCGGAAGCAGCAGGGTGCCAAAGAGTTTAAACATGGCTATGCCCAATGAAAGGTATTTCTTTGTGGCCAGAATAAAACGTCAGGAATAGGGGTAACTATGACATTAGGAACTGGAGAGCCCCTGTATGCACGTGGGAGTTAGGGGACCTGGGCTCTACCCTGACACGTGACCACAGGCAAGCCCCTCACCCAGAAGGGCCTGCTTCCTTCTCCATCTTCTCTAAGGCCCCTTCATCCATGACTGAGTTACCTGAGGCGTGTGTGTATGGAGGGTGGGAGTGGGGGTCATTTGGTTCAACGGGGGTGTCTATTTCCTGCTTTGCTTTGGCCTAAGGTGGGTCCATCACCCCCAGTTATCTCAGCTTCAGGCCGACATGGCTCAGCGCCCAGCTGTCTCCCACACCTCAGCTTTCTGAAACAGCATGTCTCAGAGGAGGAAAGGAGGCCTTGGAGCCACCTTCTAGCTGTGTAACTTGAGAGGAATTTGCCTCCCCATGCCTCAGTTTCCCCACCTGTAGGGACAGTGTCAATCACACCTACTTCACAGGGAAGATATGAAGAGTCACAGAGATGAGGCCTCTAAAGTGCCCGGGGCAATATCTCTGTGCTCTCTGGGCAGTAAGTGCTCAATTAGTGGCAAATGTCTTTCTTGTTATTCTTCCTGTTACCTGTTTCCTGTGTGGGACGCTGGGCCGTAAGCGCTTCATAGGCAGGCAGTGTCTCCTCCCTGGGGCTGAACTCAGGATCTGACGCCCAAGGCTACTGCAACTGTGCCCAGGTGGTCACAGTGACTGTGACGTGGGCCTGCCTGGCCTGGCAAGCAGCCCTGATACCACACCCTGGTGGGTACACTGCGTCACTCCTCATGGGCCTGCCCAGCACACGGGTCCCCAGTCCCTGCCTGGGAACCAAGGGTGATAAGTACCCTTGTCTAACCAAACCAGGATCTAAACTAAATTTCTCCTCCTTTTCTGTTTGACTTTAATTTTGCATAATTATTTTGGGATATAAGTAATACATTTAAATTTTTCAAAATTTAAAAGACACCAAAAAAAGGTGTTATAAAAATAAATCCTCTCCTACCCCAGAACACAGCTTAGTCCCCTCCCACAAGGCAACCAACCTGAATTCTTTTTAAACAATTGAACTTAATTTGCTCCTCCCTTATAAAAATCATAAGCATTGAGAGCAAAAACTAACTTAAAAAAAAAAACCCACTATCACCTTGGAACACATACAAAAGTATGAACTGAAAACTTCACCCTCAATGCCACCATCCAGAGACACTCAGCATCTTAGTATATGTCTACATTCACTTTTCAAAAAATGAACGAGATCACAATCACAATATTGATTTTTCAATATCTCACTGGTATCTCAGGAACATTTCCTCATAGCTTCCTCCTTAAATGACTTTAATAGCTATGCATCTTCCACAGATAATGGGCATTTGGGATTTCTAGATTTCCCTCAATAGAAGCAACATGGTGATGGGCCTTGGGACCTCGCTGTAACAAATAACTAGAAGAGGAAATGCAGGGTCACAAGGTATGACCATTTTTGAAGACCTCAGATGACCATCAAACTGTCCTCCAATCAACTGCCTTCCACCACAGCGGGACTAGGTGTCCAATTCAAATGCCAAGTTCCTCAGGAAAAGGCAAGGAAGTCTTGGTTCATGCCCATCTCAGCAGCTGTGTGTCCCCTAACCCTGCCTCCAAATGTAGACTAAGGTCAAAGACCTCCTCTGGACCTGGTGACCTGTCTTGTTTATCCAACCATAGGGCCTTACCTGGGCCCATCCCAGTACAAGGTGAGTCAGCTGAGCAGGGGCAGGCACCTCCCTTCGCAGAGCAGGAGCCCAGCTGGGACAAGGGCCACCTTCCAGGGAGGGAAGCAGACTGTCTCAGCAGTGACTGGAGAAGGACGTGCAGCAGCACCTGGCCTGCAGGTAAGAGCTGGGCCCTGACCCCATACTGGCTGGGATTGGGATGAGTGACACCTGCTCTTGCCCTGTCTCCTTCCCTCCCTGCCCTACCCTCCTGAGATTTCCCAGGCAGTTTCCTTTCAAAGTGCTTCACTGTAGGAGTGAAGTATGAACTGGAGTTTCCTCTTGTGACCCCAGCCCTTGCCAGGTTTGAGAACTGAGTGATTTTCTTCACCCAGACATCATGAGGGCCTCCAGGTTCCTTCTGACTGCCCGTGACTGTGCTCCAGGAGGTGGGACCCACACTCCGCTCCTTGAAAGGGCAGGCCCAGCTGAAACCAGAGGCTGCAGACACGCAAAGAGCTCAAAGGCCTCTGTTACTTCTTTCTCTTGCCTGAATATGTTTCTATCAACAATCTCTCTGCTACAGCACGGAAAAACCTGCTGGGGAACTGGGCCAGTGGCTTTACCTCTCTAAGAACTGGTTTCTTCATCTGGGGACTGGAAATAGCCCGCATGATCGGAGACCTTAAAGAGACAATGGACACATGGTGCTCGTACGTGTCCTCCACACAGCAGGGTCTCAGAAAATGGGGCTAAAAGGAGCCCGCTGTGTTGGGCAGGCACTGTCCTGGCTGATTCACATACAGTGGCCCAAGCTAGTCCCAATTCCTCCAACACCACCATGTCTCACCTGGGCTGCCTGCTCCCACCCTGCCCCCTAGTCTATTCTGCAAACATCAGCTTGGGAGCCCACTACAAGGAAAGGGGGATCACTGCACTCTGCTGCTCAGAATTCTCCAGGGGCTCCCATCTCACTAGAGTAAACGCTGAAGTCCTCCCCGTGGCCTACAGGCCCTGTGGGATCTGACCCTCTCACTACTTCTCCAAACTCCTCCCGACCACTCCCCTCTGAAGAACAGACTTCAGTCTCACTGGTCAGACGCTCTCCAAACACAACAGGCACTCCCACCTCGGGGCCTTTGCAAGGGCTATGCCCTCAGTCTGGAAAGCTCTTCCCCACCCTCTCAGGCCTTTACTCAAATGCCATCCCACCCAGCAGTAAGGCTCTTCAGGACCTCCTTACGCTCTACCCTCCATCCTGCTTTGCTTTTCTCCCCAACGCTTCCCACCACGTGAGAGCATACAGTCACTGAGCCTGTATCTCCAGCTCCCGCGCCCACCCCAAGGACATTCTTTGAGGACTGATTTTTCATTCGTTCACTGCTGGCACCTAGCAGGTGCTCAGTAAATGTGTTGAATGAATAACACCTATTATTGAATGCCTATTATGTGCTAGTTATACTGTGCTAAATGCTTTCCACTCGTATATCTTTTTTTAAAAAAATCTTTTAATCCCCAGTTAACTGTGATGTATTGTTCCCCATATTATAAAGCGAGAAAAGACATTCAAAAGGGACTTGCCCCTGCTCTGTTCTCAGTCTGAACCCAGTCCTGCCTCCCTCCAAAGTCCTTGCTTCTGCCCTGCCTCCCCTGAGCCTGGGTTTAGGAGCTTCTGCATTTCTTGAGGAGGTCCACTGCCTTTCTCCAGCAGGCAGCAGAGCTCTGAGAGGAGGAGGGGGTACGTGCTGGTGGCCTAGCAACAGCCTCTTCTCTTCCAACTCACCATACCCCCGGGCTAATTTGGCCTTCCAGGAGCTATTCCTCTGACACTCTAACCCACGCTTCCCTCCCGCACACTGTCTCGTAAAAGAAGGATGAGTTGTCCACAGGAACAAGTGGGAGTCCCGCAGCTTCAGCTCTTCGGAAAGTGTTCCAAAGGAGTGTTCTCATCCTAAGTTCAAAGTTGGGGCCCAAAGACCCCTTTTCAGCCCTGCTGATCTCCAAGGACCTGGCTGCTGGTTTGTTGTGGGCAGTGTTACTGCTTGTGTCAAAAAGTACAAAGTTCAGGGATGGAAATCTGGAAAGTGCTGCAGGAGAGGAAAATTCCTCTGGGAGTGAAGGGTTACATGGATCCCTTTCCTTTCAGAGGAGCCGATTATTTGTGGGAAGTCATCAGCACAGAACTGAGCAAACTCTTCTATTGTCAGATTATAGGAATCAGGCAGCTTTTCAGTCTAACTCATTAGGACAGTGTTTTCTCTCTCTTTCTAGGCTCAGGGTTATTCTTCAAAGGGCTTTCTATTTACTGGTTGTAAACACAGGTGGGAATGGGAAGAAAGACTCTATATTTAGGCTTTCAGGCTCTGTCTTCCTTCTGGGTCTGCTTTTCCACCGCGTTCAGCAACAGTAACTGGATGCCTGCTGTGTGCCAGGCACTGTGCTCAGCACTGGGGATTCACAAATGAGCGACATTCCCTAACTAGTGAGGGAGACAGGCAAACAAATGCAGCACAGGGGAAATCCAACCCAGGAAATGCAAAAGGCTTTGCTCACAATAGGTGACTAATAAACATTTGTGGAATGAATGATGAACAGGCAAATTATGTATGAGATGCTGTGGTCTAGAGAAGGGAGGCTTGCCAATCTCCAGGGGTATGTGTGGGTGTGGGGATCTGGGGGAAGGCTTAGAATTGAAGGAGGAAGAAGAGTTCAACAGATGAACAAGGAGGGGGGAGAAGGCGTGAATGGCATTTAAGTCAGAGGGAACAGCGTGTGCAAAAAGCATGGAGGCATGAACTAGCGGGTTGGATTTCAGGACTAGCAAGCAGTTTGGAATGAAGGATATGCATGGGGAGTGTGGAAGAGTGAGGAAGTGAGATTGGAGACATTAACCAGAAGTGAGGCCACAGAAATTTGAATGCCAAGTTGAAGTTTGAGGTTTATCCTGAGGGTAAGAGCTGGGCATGGCTTCAAGAGGAGGGCAAGGCAGGAGGTGAGGATAACTCCCAGATTTCAGCCTATGGGTGGATTTGGTGGGACTGCTATGGAGGTGTGACACAGCGGGGGGAAGACAGTCCAGTCAGGCTAATCGGCAAGATGTAATAAGAATCCAGAAGGCAGCCGGACTCTCAGGCCCGGGGGGCCTCCCTATCCCTGGAATAACACTCGATTCCCATCTGCTTGGACCTCCGTCCTTGACGGCCCAGTCAGGGTCTTCTTCCTTCCTCCAGGAGGTACTCCTAGGTTGACCTAGCCTTTCTCCTGCACCCACAGACCCAACTGCCTGAGAAGTCCCTTTTAAGGGGCAGTGGGTCTGATTTCGCTGTGGGAACTGATCCGCTCGGCCAAGCCAAGTCCCCTTCCCAGGGTAGCAGGGGCCCAATCGCTTAATCACTGGGGGGTGGGGCCGAGGTGAATCTGCGCGGGGTGGGGAGGGCATTTTCAGCTCAGCACCCGGCCCGGAATGAAACCCGGGAGAGTGGAAGGGTGACGTCACAATGGGTAGGAAATGAAACCAACGGGAACGAGGGGCCTTCATTTACAGTACGAGCAACAAGCAGCCGGGATAGCGGCGCGTGTGGACTTTTGTCCTCCTTACCACCCACAGCTGCCTAAGCGCAGAATCTTATAAGTCAGGAGGGGGCGACTCAACCGCACCCCGCCCCTCCTTCGGAGGCCACGAATGGCGCTTAGAGGCCAGGGGCGTGGGAGCGAGGGGGCACTAGTTGCCTTCGAAGCTCGATTTGACCCGCGCAGCCGCCAATCGGTAAAGTGGGGGCGCGGAGCCCGACTGAGCCTTCCCATCCCTTACTCTGCTGCTTTACCTGATCTCTTTTTGTGGATGCCGGCGCCTGCCACGGGCGCCTGGGAAAGCATGAGTCCAAGTGGACTCCAGTAACCCACCTGGCTTAACAACCCACTCGGCAAAGACGCCGCCATTTTCCGCTGCGCAGCCGCAGGGAATCCTGGGAGGAGCCCTTAGCGAGGCGCATGCGCGCTAGACAGCGCCGCACGGCTTGGCGGAGTCTGCGGTGAAGGAGCGCCACACCAAAGAGGGTGTTGAAACAGGTCCCGGGTGCCCGGCACACAGTGGACACTCAAATGCTTTGAATGAATAGCTAGATGATTGAATGAGACACCAGCCATATTTGCGGGCACGGAGCCATTCCCCACTATATCGAGAACTGCCACAGGGCAGTCAGCCCTCCGTATCGCTGGGTTCCGCATCCATGGGTTCAACCCTCCGCAGATCGAAAATGTTAAAAAATAGAATAAAAAATAACAATAAACAATAAAAAACAATTCAAATAAAAGTACGATATAACAACTTTATTTAGCATTTACATTGTATGAGGTATTATAAGTAATCTATAGACGATTTAATATGGGAGGATGTGCTTAAGTTATATGCAAGTACTACGCCACTTTCTATAAGGGGCTTGAGCATCCTTGGATGTTGTTATCTGTGGTTTGGGGGCGGGGAGGTTGTCCTGGAACCAATCCTGAGGAATGACTGCACCTGTATCCTGATTGCCACAAAGGCCCAGCACTAAGTTCAGAGACAGTGGCAGTGCTGAAATAATCTCAGACAGAAAAAGGGTGCTGTGGTCCCAGCCTGGGAGTGATTTCCAGGAAACGGATCTCTGCTTCTCTGCTCTCCTAGAGAACAGCTGCCAAAAATATAACTGCTCTGCTGCTTAAATGTTAGAAAAATCAGGGCAGAGGTGGCCTCTTAACTTTCACATCTGCCATTCATTCGCAGTCCTGGTGGCAGGGCATGCTTTTGGCAGATGGTAATTGCTGAAGACTGTCCCAAGATAAAAAATCTCCCAGAGTATGTGCGCAGTGGGGAAGGCCACAGGCAAAGGAGGGTCTCTTCCCCCAGGTGGTCTAAAGGAGGTCAGAGCCAGAATCCTTTTCCCCACCGGAAATTCCTGTCTCTTGGGACGGTCATTCCTGCCCCGAAGGCCAGGCCGGGGCAAGGATCTGGAACCAAGCAGGCAATATGGATCAGCGAAGGGCCGGATGGGCAGCTTAGGAAACAGGAAAGCACCTGCAGCCCCATCTGAGTGGTCGGCTGCGACTCAGCCTGGCTGGGGGTTGCCATGCACAACTCCTGCTCTTGCCTTGCCAAATATTTTTATTTTTTTCAGTACAAGTTAGAAATAAAGAATTTGATGTTTCCGGATTTTTAAATGTTGGCACTAATTCAAACTTAAAACAAATGGAACAAGACCGTGAGAGGCAACGAAATGCATTTGGGACCTCTGGTTTTTGTTTCCATCCCAGGAAGGATACCAGGAGAAAAGTGGAGGTCCAAGCAGGATGCATTGCCTCTGGCAATATTACTGAATTAGCCTCCATGCTTGGGGTTAGAGGTTTCACAGCCAATGAGATGGCCCAATTCCTGCCCTCTTGGAACTCCCAATCTAATGAGGAAGACAGACAAGTAAAGAGGCAACTATAGGAGTGGGGGATAATCAACAGGAGGAAGGATGGAGCAGGGCTAGGTGGAGCACAAATCAAGGAAGGCTTCCTGCAGGAAGAATCCTCAGGTCCAAGGCTTAAAAATTATTAGGAGTTAGCCAGGCAAGGAGTGAGGGGTATTCCAGATAGAGGGAATAACACATGCAAAGGAGACATGAGAAAATTAGATCCATTCAATGATCTGAAAGTAGCTCACTGTGGCTGGAGCTCAAAGTGGCAGCTGGGAGAAAGACATAAGACAAGAAGTAAAGCTGGAGAGTTAGGCAGGTGTAAGAGACAATAGAGAGTGGTGGGGACTGGGGTGCCCTGAGTCTGCTGCTATTCGCCTGTTATCTCTTTTGCTGCAGTCCAGGGTTGCCAAAACTTCCTATTTTTCAGGTGTAGTGAGAAATATTAGATTATTAAATGCAGTGCCTTAAGCTTTGTATTTAGACCTCTAATCTCAATGTTTATGGTATAATGCATTGTCAAATAAAGTCTGTTTACATCTAGCCCATGGGCTACCGCTTCTAATCTCTGGAGGATCACAAAGGCCCTGAGAGCCACTTTCCGGCATGGTGATTCCGCTGGCAGTGCGGAGGCAGTGACCTATTTGGAGGACGTCGTGGCTCCTGGGGAGGGGCAGGGAGACGATGGAGGTCTGCACAACATGGGATGTGGGAAAGACAGATTCAATGACAGATTAGAGGGGAAGGTGGGGGCAGAGGCCGAGGATGATGCAGGGGTCAAGGCAGCAGGTGGGCAGTGCGGGGAGGGACTGGGGATGGATGAGGAGGTCCTCAGCACCTGTGGGTCACTCAGGGAGGTGCTGGCAGATCTGGCCCTGGGGGTGCTGGAGTCACCTCATGCCCGGCACAGCCTGCTCAGGTCCCTGTGCCACCCCCGGGCAATCCTTTATCCCGTGCCCTGCCGCATGTGGGCTCAGTGGGGTGAATAGGACACACCTTGACCCCATGGAACTGCAATCCAGCCAGGAAGACAGACAGGACAATTGATGAGTTGAGGCAGGAGGCTGGCCCAGCACTGTCCCAGGGGACAGGGCCCTGCATGAGAGGGCAGTGACCTCATTGCCAGGGAGCCAGGAGAGGCCTGTCCCTCGGGAGTGGAGAGTGACAAGCAAGTGTGGAGTGGACTGCCCCAGTAAAGGCCTGGAGGTGAGACAGAGCCAGCGGTTAGTAGGCGAGGGAGAGAATCCAGGAAGACAAACCGCCCCTCCCCCACACTTCATCTGGGAAGGAAATAAACCATTTCTCGAGAGGCAACAATTACTTGGAATTTCTCTGGGCACTTGCTCAGAGTCCCTGCTGATTCTCTGCTGGGACAGTGAGGCGCTGGCAACTGTCCATAGTGTCCCCCGCCCCACTCCCTCCGGCCTCTGGAGCAGTGCTCTGTTGGGTGTTTAAATTCTGCTACGGTTTATGTGTGTTTATGAATTTCTTTTGGTCTGACTGCATTGTGGCCAAGATCACAAGGTGACAGTGAGTTCAGCAGTGGGTGGTCGATAGCAGAGCCCAGACATCCAGAGGGGAGCAGGAGTGTGGCAGGGGGATTCTGGAGTGCCCTGCGGCCTTTGTGTTTTCATAGTAAGTCCCAACCCCCTTGTTGCTGTGGGACGGTACTGTGCAAACCCCGAACTTAGGCCTGGTATGCAGAAGGCACTCAGTACACACCGGGATCGAGGTTAGGTCTTGAGTGATCATTAGCTTGTCTGACCTTTGAAACAGGGCAGGGAAGAATGTGCCCCATGAGCCTGCCTTTCCTGGCCAGCATGTCCTGGGTGGTCCCCTGGGCCTGAGTTCTAAAGCCCAGAGTCAGTTGATGGGATGGAACTTTGCACATGGAGACCATGGGCTTAGAAACCAGACAGACTGGTTCAATTCCATCTGCCCCGTCTCTAAACTGGGGACAGTAATAGCTCCTGATGTCTTTCTCATATCGGAGAGTGCTACACTGCACACATGGGCAAGAGGCGGATGTCCGAGCCTCCTCTCAAGAAGGCGAGAGGGCGTCCTCATCCTTCCTCACCCTCTGCACTCTGCAGGGTGCTCTGAGGAACAGCCATGTCCACGCTGTACCCATCACTGGAGGACCTAAAGGTGGACCGAGCCATTCAGGTAAGCTGCCAGGCCCTGTTAGCCTGGGCTTCCCGATGGGGGACTTGGGGATTACCCGGGGGTAACTCAGGGAGGTTTGCCCTGGAAGGTGCCGGGTATTGGGGACCCTTGGGCATCTCAGGTAGGCCCAGGGCATGCAGGTCCCCAGTGCAGGGCCTGCTAGGCAGAGCAGGTGTCCAGAGGCCAAGGCCAATGGATTGACAGCAGGAATGGAAAAGATCTGCTTTGTTCCATTCTGTCCCAGGGCTTCCTCCCTCTGGGACAGGTAGGCCCCATGCTCCAGGGCAGGCTTTCAGAAGAAACCCAGTGGACATGGAGTTTAGCCTGCTCAGTCCCCAAAAGCCCCTTCCTCCCTCCATCTCACCACCCTGTGGTCCCAGTAGGTTTTGAGAAGTTAGGACTTTTCAACTGAGAACTTGCTTGGGAGATGGGCCTTGATGTTCTGCCTGTCACAGGCAGTAAACAGGCCATGACATTTGGTGGAGTATGGGCCCCCGGTGAACCTCCTCCTGGAGGGAACCACATCTGCAGAAGCCACATTTACCTGTGACCTTGAGCCTTGAGGGTTCATGGACACCCCTGGGCTCACCCCATACCCAGTGCCCACAGCCCTGGCCTCAGGGAGCCCCAGGCTCCAGGAGTTACTAGGGCCTGGCCACAGCTGACCGGCACTCCCTGCCCCTCCCCAGGCCCAGGCCCGAGCTGCACCCAGGATGCCTGCCCTGCCAGTCCCGACGGCAGCCATTGCCCCGCCGGCAGGTGAGTGAGGTGGGGTGGGCACCCCTGGCTGAGAGTGGCTGATGCCCGGCCCCTTCAAGGCAGAGGTCATCAGGGCAGCATGGTGGCACCAAAGCTGTGGGGAGCTCTGCGGCCATGGATTCAACATGGTGGGAGGAGAGGACTCAGGCTTCCAGCTGCCACCTACCTCTCACCACCTGGGTGACCTGGGCTGAGTCACCTCACCTCCCAGGGCCTTTGCCTGTGCTGCTCCCCTCTCTCCTTCACTGCCTGGTGAATTCCTATTCATCCTTCCAAACCCAGCACAGACAGGTGGGGAAGCCATGGCTTCTCTGATGCCCTCAGCAAGGCTGCCTTAAGAGTGTGATATCATCTGTGGGGCCTCTTTCTATATAAACAATTTGAGTCACCCCAAATCAGCATGTCAGCACCATTCTGGTGACCCACTCTCATGTGATCCCAGGAATGAAACACCACACCGGTCAGAGGGAGAGAGCCAGGCCCTCCCTGCTGGAACTGGGGTGGCCCAGGGTGACGGGGCTATGGGGGAAGAAGGGGGTAGCAGATAGAGCATCAGAGAGAGAAGGGGCCAGAACCCACTGGTCTTAGTCTGCTCAGGCTGTCATAAAAAAATACCATGGGCTGTGGCTTAAACAACAGCAATTTATATTCTCACAGTTCTGGAGGCTGAAAGTCCAAGATTTAGGTTCTGGCCAATTTGCTTTCTGTGAGGGCTCTCCTCCTGGCTTGCAGACGGCTGCCTTCTGGTTGAGTCCTCACATGGCCCTTCCTCAGTGTATCTGTGTGATTGAGAGAGAGAGTACACACCAACTTGCTATTGTCTCTTACAAGGATGCTGATCCTATGGGATTAGGGCCCCACACTTATGATCTCATTTAACCTTAATTATTTCCTTGGAGGCTCTATCTCCAAATACAGCCACACCGGGGACTGGGGCTTCAACATAAGAACTTTGTGGGGACACAAACATTCAGACCGTAATATCCCCCAGACAGCATTGCTGGTCCTGGCAGTTCCCATGCGCCAGAAGGAAAGCAGAGGTTTCTGGGAAGGTGCGCCCAGGTACAGGGCTGAGACAGGGCCTGCTTGCCTGGCAGTGCTGGCCCTGAGGATACAGCCGCGTCTTTTCTGGCCATTTCCAAGTGCTGGTCTCTCACCTGCCACTGTGGGTGGGCTTTATGCACATTTCACCCTCACTATATCCCTTCGAGGGGGACACTGGGAAATCTGGCTTGGTGAAGGCGGTAACTCCCTGCCCAACATGCTACCACACGAGGCTGTGTAGGGCAACCAGGATGTTCACAGCCCCTGGAATTGCTCGTGGCAGTCTTGATTGTGGTCCTGTGGTAGCAAACGTGAACTCAGGCCCAGCTCCTCCCCTCCTCACCGTGCAGGGGCTGCCCGTGGTCAGAGGCCTGCCTCCTGTGCTGGAGGAGCCTTCCTGGACCCAGCGCGGGCTCCGCACTTTGTGTCGAATGTCTGGTTGGTGCCACGTGAAGTCGGTGGAGTTGAATATCAAAGTGGCGCATGAGGGACTCGGTGTCCCATGCCACTCCTGGACAAAGGCAGACCCCTCGCACCTTGGGTCTTCTAAGGCGTATTCCTGGGTATATGCTGTGTTCTTGGAAGTGAGCAGCCACCCAGGAGCCAGGCAGGTTTGGTGAGACACATGCCCTTGAGTGACACCTTTCTTCTTCCTTCCTTCCTTCCCATCAGTTTTGTACCCAAACCTGGCGGAACTGGAAAGTTATATGGGTCTTTCGCTCTCCAGCCAAGAAGTCCAGCAGAGCCTGTCTCAGATTCCAGCAGCTGGCAGTGTAGGTATTCATCTCTCGCCTACTGCAGGTGCAGAATGTCCCAACCCTCCTTCCTTCTTGGTCTTGCCATTGAGCAGCCTCCCTCTCTCTGCGTGTATGAATCTCCTCTTTCCCCAGCATTTCTGTGGCTCTGTTTCTTGATGGTACTTTTCATTTTGAGCCTTCCTGAAAAGCACTGCGGGGTTTCGTGGTTTCATGTCTTCCCACAGGCCTTGGGGCTGGAGGGCCGGGGCCTGCCTTTTGACCTCTGGCCTGAGCCTACTGGATGAGGGGGAAGGACATGAAAGCCAGCCTGAGCCCGGGGGCATCTAGTGCAGGGCTGCCTCGGACAGGCAGAGCCGAGAGGGCAGGAGCTTGTCACCCAGCTCTGGTCTCCAGATTGAACAATAAGGCTCGATTCCTGCTTTCCATGGCTTTGGGGAACGAAATAAACTGTAACAGAAATACTTACCCCAAATCTTACTAAGGCCAGTTGACGGAAGTGACGACAGAGAGCTGCCACGGCCACATACAAAGCCACTGCCAAATGAGGATCTGACGGGACCCAGTGGACAAGGATGAGGCCATGTGGGGCCCCGAGAAGAACTGGTGACACTCTGGGTGTTTCTCCACAATGACCCCTTCGATGGTCATGCTGTGAGATACAAACACGAAGCAAAGAAGGTCACACTGTAGCCAGCTCGACTTTAATCATTTTTTGTTCCAATAATTAGGACACAAATGCATTCAACCTAAATTTTGATGCAAATATATAAGATGGGAAATGCATTTTTATAATTTAAAAACTTTTTCATGGCTTTTAACTTTTTGTTTTTAAATAATAATAACAGGAAGTTGCAAAGAGAGTGCAGAGAAGTCCCTTGTACCCTTCAGTTTCCTCAATCATTACATTTTACATAACTATAGTAGTACAGTCTCAAGGCCAGGAGTTTTATACTGGTACAATGTGTGTCTGTAGTTCTATGTCATTTTATCAAGTGTGTAGATTCATGTCACCACAAAGATCTCCCTCCACTGCCCTTTGTAGTCATGCCCACCCCTGGCAACCATCTCTATAACATTGTCATTGCAGATTGTTTTGTAAGTGAAATCATATGGTATGTGACCTTTTGACGTTGGCTTTTCTCGGTCAGCGTAATCCAGGTTGTCCTGTGTCTCAAGTTTGTTCCTTTTCATTGCTGAGTGGTATTCCACATGTGGGCGTACCAGCGTTTGTTTAACCTGTTGAGGGACATCTCCGTTGTTTCCAGTTTTGGCTGTTATAAACAAGCTGTTAGTGTATAGGTTTTTGTATGGACATAAGTTTTCATTTCTCTGGGATAAATGCCTGAAGTGCAATTACTAGGTCATACAAGTCTATGCCAAACTATTTTCTAGAGTGGCTGTACCACGTTACTTTCCTTCCAGCAATGCGTGAGTGCTCCAGTTTCTTCACATCCTCACCGGCATTTGGTGTTATCACTATTTTTAATTTTAGCCGTTATGAGAGGTGTATAGTGAGGGCTCATCGTGGTTTAACTTGCATTTCCCTAATGGCTAGTGATGTGGAACATCCTTTCATGAGTATATTTACCATCTGTATATTCATTCTTTTTGGTAAATATTTCTTCATATCTTTTTTTCCATTTTCTAATCAGATTGTTTGTTGGGTTTTTTTGTTTTTTTAAAGGCAAGTTTTGGGAGTTCTTTATATATTCTGAAGTCCTTTGTTGGATGTTTGCAAATATTTTCTCCCAGTCCATAGCTTATCTTTTCATCCTTTAACAGGGTCTTTTGCAGACCAAAAGTTTCTTATTTTGATGAGGTCCAATTTATTGATATTTTTTCTTTTGTGGGTCGTACTTTGGAAAGAAATTGTTAGCAAGCCCTAGGTCCTGAAGATTTTCTGCTTTGTGTTCTTCTAAAATTGCTATTGTTGTATGTCTCACATTAAAATATATGATTGAATTTGAGTTAATTTTTGTAGAAGTTTTGAAGTTTAGGTCAAGGTTCATATTTTGGCCCATGGTTATTCAATTGCTCCAGCACCATTTGTTGAAAAGACTCTTGCACCTCTGTGAAAAAGCAGTTGGTCCTACTTGCTTGAGGCTATTTCTGGATTTCTGGATTTTGTTCCACTGATCTTTGTGTCTCTCCCTCTGCCAATACCACACTGGCCTGATTACTATAGCTATATGTGTCTTGAAATTCGGTAGAGTGAGTCCTCTCACTTTATGCTTCTTGTCAGAATTATTTTAGCTATTCTAATTCCTTTGCCTTTTCCTATAAAGTTATAATTAACCTTACCTGCACCTACAAAGCATCTTTTGGAGATTTTAATAGAAATTGTGTTTTAGCTACATATCAATTTCGGACAATTTACTAGTTCTTTCAATCCATGAATACAGAAGAGCTTCCATTTATTTAGCTCTTCTTTGATATCTTTTATCAGTATTTTTTCATTTTCAGCATACGGTTTCTGTACGTGTTTTGTCAGAGTTACATCTAAGTATTTTCTTTTTTTGAGTAATTATAAATAGTATTGTATTTAAATTTCAGTTTTCCACGTGTTCATTGTTAATATATAGAAATACAATTGATTCAGCATGTTGATCTTGTTTCCTATGACCTTATTGAACTCATTTATTAGATCTAGGAATTTATTTGTGGATTTCTTGAGATTTTTCTAGTAGATCGTCATGTCGTCTGTAAATAGGGACAGTTTTATGTCTTCTTTTCTGATTTGTATGCCTTTTTTCCCTTTTCTTGCCTTATTGCGCTGGCTAGATCTTCCAGTACTGTTAATAGTAGTGGTGAGAGTGGACATCCTTGCCTGTTCTGCATCTTAGGGAGAAGCATTCATTAATTTTTATGGCTTAAATTTTTTTCAAGACAAAAATCAAATCGAGCCCTTTCATCCCCCACTACTCACTGTGATTTTTTTTTTTCTATTTTATGTGGATTTTAAAAGGGTCTTTTCCTGTTATCAAAATGGGGGCTTCCTTCCTGAATCCCAAACCTCCTCCCCATTTCCCTGGCTGTTTTGGGGCATGGACTTTGCGCCCCCTAGTGGCTTCATGGAGCTACGTCCCGTCTCGGCCCCTGCGTAGATGTGTGTGGTCTGGGGACCCGGTTGGCTGAGTCGGGACCGGGCGGTCCTCCTTTCCCTATCCATTCCCCGACCCCAGTGATCCCTGAGGCACGAGGTCCCAGGAGCCGGGCTGACCCCTGCTCCCCTGGCGTTTGCAGACGGCGGTGTCTGGCCCTTGTCCGGGTCAGGTGGTGGCACCGGTGTCCGGGAACAGCCTGGGCGTGCGGCGTGCGGAGATCAAGCCCGGGGTGCGCGAGATCCACCTGTGCAAGGACGAGCGTGGCAAGACTGGGCTGCGACTGCGGGCCATCGACAAGGTGGGCGGGGCCCGGCGGGAAGAGGAGCGCCCCCTGCACTTGCTGCCCCGCCAGGCCGCAGCCACCCACCAGCCTGAGAGGGGACCGTGCTGGGCGGGGTGGGAGCCCTTCCCCTGCATGGAGTCAGACCTCCGCATTCTCCCAAGTAGGGAAGGTGCAGAGCAGGCACCCGCGCCCCAAGGCAGGCTTTCCCTCTCAATCCCTCCTTCTCCAAGCCCCAGGGCTGGTGCTGGGCTGCAGCACGGACCCTCTGCCGGTTGGTCTGCCTTCGTGGGCTCCTGTCTCTCGGAGCTGCCCTTCCCCTCCTGCCCCCAACCTGCCCCTCACCTGACTGGATCTGGTTCCTAGGAAGAGCCCAGAAGCCAGATGCTTTTTCGAGCGGTGGTACAGTAGAGTGGTTGTAGTGCAGCCTCTGGCCAGGGCTGAACCTTGACTCACCTCCTTGCTAGCTGTGTGTCCTAGAAACCAGGGGGACCATGGCACCTGCCGTGCAGAGCTGCAGTCCTAGCACCCTGTAGGCTCCCAGAGTATCAGGGGAAAACGAGCTCAGAGGAGGGACCTGGGCTCAGGGTGGGCAAGGATGCTGACTCTGGGGCCCGGCCCCTCCCCAGGGACTCTTTGTGCAGCTGGTCCAGGCCAACACCCCTGCATCCCTCGTGGGGCTGCGCTTTGGGGACCAGATCCTGCAGATTGATGGGCGTGACTGTGCCGGGTGGAGCACGGACAAAGCCCATCGGGCCGTGAAAAGGGCATCGGCTGAGAAGATTGTCATGGTTGTTCGGGACAGGTAAGTACAAGACCCGAGGAGCCCCTCTGTCCGACCCCAGCCATGTCCTCAGGCTAGCTCACTGTCCCTGTCTGCCAGGCCATTCCAGCGGACTGTCACCATGCACAAGGACAGCTCGGGCCACGTTGGCTTTACCATCAAGAAGGGGAAGGTTGTCTCTGTGGTCAAAGGCAGTTCTGCAGCCCGCAACGGGCTCCTCACCAACCACTACGTGTGCGAGGTGAACGGGCAGAACGTCATCGGGCTGAAGGTAGGTGGGGTGCACCAGGGCCTGGGGGCACTGCTGGGTGCTGGTGGGCAGGCTCAGGTCTGGGGGCAGCTGCAGACCCTGCCCAAGAGTCAGCTTCCTCATCCTAAAGTTGCCATGAGGGTTCAGTAAGAGTACTCCTAGAGCTCTGAGCACCATGTTGGGCACACAGTAAGTGCTCAATACATATTAGCTATTGCTCCTCACACACGGAGGCCAGAGGTGTGACAGAATGAGGGGTGTGACGATGTGTTGAGGACACGAGCACCCATGGCTTCTGGCCATACGGACTCCTCCTTATTCCGTGTGGCACTTCTGTTTGCATATTGGATCAAGTTCAGCAATAGGAATGTTTTAGAAAATCGTCATTCAGAAATCCAGTTCTGACCTTTATTCATTTTTCAAGGCGGCATGTGTGGTGCGTTTTATCTTTAACCAGCAAGAAGAAGCAAGTAGTCTAGGATCGGTGGACATGGAATGAGGGCTTGATATCTTCAGAGAATTGGTCCCAGAACAAGTGAAAGTGGCTTTATCCTGACTTGATGCCACTTGGGCCAAGAGTAGTTCTCGATCCCGGCTGTGATGTAGAGTGAGAGGCCCTTCCTCCTGCAACCAGAGCTCCGGAGCTCATGTGGCAGGGCCCCCAGCAGACGTGGGCTGCGCGTGGCAGAGGGTCTTTCACGCCAGCTCTCTGCTCCCACAAGGGCCATCACTGTGCCATTCCCGCCACGTGTCTGCTTCCTTGTGCTTGACAACCCCCAACCTTCCTGGGAGGCTTGTTCTGGTGGCTCGTGACCGTCGTGATCAGGAAGTTCTTCTAATATTTGCCTAAGGTCCCTCCTGCTGCATCCTTTCCCCTTCCTCGGGGATCAGACATGACAATCCAAAGGAAACCCATTGCACTTAAAAGCTGAGGACAGTAATACCGATTCTGAGTGGCTGGAGCTTTCGGAGATGAACGAGCTCGCTCCTTCCAAAGCATTACAGTGCTCTGATCTCAACTACTCTGAAGAACAGTCAATCTAAGATCTGATTCTCTCATCTTCACTGATGGCCCAAAGCGTCACTGTGAACTTGTCAGTGACTCTACAGAACCATGGGGTTGTGAAGCTTTTAGGGACTGGGTTTGTCCTTTTGCTACATGGCTCCAGACAGCTATGCTTCCTGAGCTCATTTATCTTTTCGGAGTTTATTTATTTCCACCTGTGGCCATCACTAGTCCTATCTAGCACATCTTCTCCCGTTTATTCTGGATCAATTAAGAAAACGCATAATCAGGTTATATGTATGTGTAAAGTAAAAGTCACTAGGGTCTGAGTAAGGGCCAGAGGCTCTTCTATGGCCATAGCTTGAGCGTTTGGACCATCCAGAGACTTTTAGTTTCATGTTCTCTCCATGATCTAAGTGATACCTGCAGGATTTTCTCTTTTTACCAGTCAACCAGTTACAAGAGGAAGAGGACCCCTGTGGCCCTGGCTCAGGCTGGCAGCCAGCAGGAGCCAGAGGGGGAGGGTGTGCCTATCTCCCACCGGATGGTTACTCTCTGTGCTTTGGGGCCAGGGAGATGGGATAGAAAACATGGGCTTGGTGAGTCTCTGGGAGCCCTTGCTTCCCAGGAGAATCACGTTTGTGAGCCCGTTACGTGTCGGGCCCACACAGCTGGCCTTCAAGGTGAGGGTGGGGAGTGGCACTCATTTGACCAAGGAGATCCTCACGTGGCAGGTGCATGTTCTTGCTCAGGCACAATGCACCTGGATATTGCCTGGGCCCTCCCCTGACAGGCAGTTCTGCCCCTGTGGTCAGGTGTCAGTGGTGTCCTCCAGCAGTGGCCACACTGCAGAGTTGCCCCTGGCCCTTGGTCCCCAGTCCCCAGAGTGATCACTCACTCGCTTCTCCTCCAGGATAAAGAGATCACGGAGATTCTGGCCACAGCCGGGAATGTCATCACCCTGACCGTTATCCCCGCTGTGATCTACGAGCACATGGTCAAAAGGTAAGGCTGCACCCCTCCTCTGCCTTCCCTCTCACCGCTCAACCCCCTGGGGCTCCCCTGGGCTCAGCCACTCCGCTGCCTCCCACAGGGCACAGGCCCAGCCTTCCTCGTCCTCCCCTCCTCTCCCTCCCTCCAAGGGGGTTGGTGGCTTCAGGTGATTTGAAAGTTTTAGGACTGGGAGTGAAGGTCCACATGGGATGCACAGGCTTGGGGCAGGGGAAGGGGCTTGCACAGAGAAGGAGCTGGAAGTTTTGGCCACTGTTGTTGTTGCTTATATCCAGGTTGTCCCCGACCCTGCTCCACCACACCATGGACCACTCCATCCCAGATGTCTGAAGCCACAGGAGGACAGCACGGGCCCGCCCACCCTCCCGCAGGAAAGGGCTGCCGGCCTGCTGCCTGGGGTCGGGCTGTCTCCAGGGGGCGTATTCCAGGTGGGTGGACATCGGATGGCGAGGTCTGTCATTTATACACACAGGTCTCCTGGGAGCCTCAGTTCCCTAGCCGGGCTGAGGCTCAGGCAGGGCCCACAGGCAGCCGATTCTTTGTGCTGGTTTAAATGCTGGGCACGTAGGCAGGCCGGCTAAACACTTCTTAAAGTTGCGACTGGGTCCCTTTCAAGAATTTGCCTGTAGCAGGAAAACATTACACATTTTCAGAGAATAGAACTACATTCTGAGAACTTTTCCTTTGTCTTCACTTGCCCTTTGTCACAGACTGTACAAAGTTATAACCCTTTACTGTCTTTTGAATAAAGATTTGATTTTAAACAAAACCCCTTCCACAAAGGAATTGAAAACTCTGGAATCCTTGGTCTTACGACACGCCAGGGCTGGTTTTCTTTTAAACAGTGGTGAGACCAAGGCCTTTTTTACAGATCACCTCTGAGAGCCATGATGTAGCTCTGCCTCCGTCCCATGCCGCCTGACAGTCTGGCGCGGGGATGACAGCATGGGACCGTGGGGCAGTGGCACTGGTGGGGGGGCCCTGGCTTTAGGCCACCCTGCTGCATGATTGCAGCTGCTTCTGCTTCTGCAAAGTGGGCGTTGAGAACCCACTTCCGGGGGTGTTGGGGAGGATGAAATACGATGTACTTACAGGGCCCAGTGGGTTCTGACACCCAGGGGGTCGGAGGGTGGTTCCAGACCCTGTGCCTGACCCTCGGAGGGCAGTGGAACCCCAGCAGAGCCCGGCAGGCTGAGTCAGCGTGCACCACCCCGCCTGCCTCTGCACTGGAGAAGATCACTGCCCCCCTGGCTTTTCCCTGCGGGTGTCATGACCCCTGTGCTGGGGGAGGACAGTGTGAGCCCCTCATCACCCCCCTTAGAAAAACCACACAGTATAAAGAAAACAAGCGAGGGTCTCTGTGTGTTTTCATGCTTTAATTCAGAGCTGACTGCTGCAGGTACAACTCTGTCTGAACAAAAGGACAAAGGAGACAAGAGTCAAGACCCCTCCCAACCTCCCCGTTTCCCACACCCCCTGAATTCCCTGTCAAGGGGATGGCCTAATATGTGAGTGAACTGTGACCTGTTTCATTGTCCCCCAGGTCAGAGAGGGGCTGTGAGTTGACTGGGCAGAGGCCCCAGACCTTGTGGTTTGCCCCACCCCTCCCCAAAGTGCTGTCAGATACCCCTGTGCTAGTGGCAATTGGGAAGGGTATTTCAGTGAAAAGCTGAGTTATCCCCTTGGGAGATATTTGTAATAAACTCCGCTCAAGGCCAGCTCTCTGTGCAGAAGTCTGGGCCCAGACTCTCAATTCCTGCCTGAGCCTGGACCAGAGGGGCAGCAGGGCCGCTCTGACCCGAGCCCTGGAACTAAAGAGAGGCCGCGCTTCTGGTCACTGGGCTCCGTCCAAGAGACCAGCAGTTTCAGGTGGTTCCTGGGGACACTGTTCCGCAGGACCTAATCAGCTCTGGCCAGAGGCTTAGGGAGAGGGGAGGCCCCAAAGATTTCTGCTCAGAAGCCGAGGGTAGGAGGAAAAGGTCATAGCCCCGACAGGAGGAGGCATTAAGCAGGAAGGAAGAGGGGGAGCCTTGGAGGATGCACACTCTCAACGGGAGGCCCGGCCCCAGGCCACAGCCCTGCCCCCAGCCCACTCTGACCTGCCTAGGCAGGGCTTGGAGCCTGAGCCAGCTGGCTGCCGTGTCTCCACTGCCTGGAGCTGCACAGGCCGCCTGTACCTTTGCATAGATGCGGATACTGAGCACACACACGCACACACTCGAGAGCTGGGCCATGGCCACTGGCCAGCATGGTCCCTGGACTGGGGGGTGAGCTGCTTCCTCCACTGTTAAGAAGAAAAGCCCATCGAAGGCCCCAAGAGAACCCCCAAAAGGACCCTCAACGCTGTGTGCCAGGGCCCCTTGTGACCGCACGGGCAGCTCTAGGGCCAGCAGGAATAGAGGTGGCAGCCGGCCCCACTCACCTCCTCCACAGGCTTCGGGCCCAACCACAGCCCACCCCTTGCCAGGTGGCTTCTCCAGCAGCAGGGAGAGACCGGACTACGGCCCCAGTCCTGCCCATGTCCACCACAACACAAGACACAATAGGAAGGCCACAGATGGAAGACACGGACAGGAGCAGAGGGGCTACGAAGCTTGACTAAAGTCCAGTGGTGAAAAATATATAGATTTTATGTTGTCAAATATAGTTCATACATTTATTTTCTCAGCAAAGCTTTGACTATTTCTAAGGAGACACTAAGCAGCTCCATGAGTACACAGCACAGGAGGCTGGGTCCGTGGCCAGTCCCGGCTTGGCTTTGGATAGTTTTGTCCACTGCCCCCTCTGTGGCATGAGCCCAGTGTCCTGAGGGGGCAGTCCCAGCCAGGCCCGAGGCATTTGGGTTTGGTTAGCCTGGGGTCGGGGGTGCTTCACAAAGGATGGCTGGTTGAGGCCCCGACCGAGGCGGGGGGAGCTCTGGAGGCACAAAGCGCGTGGCAGAGAGGCCTCTTGCCCCGACGGCTGGGCTGGGCGCCCCCTCCCAGTGCATGCAGGTGCCCTGGCCTCGAGTGAAGGGCACAGAGTGGAAGGGCAGAGCCCAGGAGTCAGGCAATGGCTGCTGGAGCATCGGGGGCGAGGGCAAGCAACCTTGGCAGAGAACCAGAGTGCCCCTTAGGCCAGAGGGCTGAATAAGACACAGGGTCCCACCAACCTCCCCAAGTAGGGGCCTAATCTCTGAAGAGTAGGTGGGATGACCAGACGGGTGTAACCCCTGCAGAGGAAGTGAGTTTACTTTGTAAAGTAATAATGGTAATAAAAATGTCAGCAGCTTTGCTGGGGGACTCAGATGTGGTCCCAGGGAAGGAGTAGGGGACAGTGAACCTTCCCAGGCCGACTGGCTCTGGGCCAGGAGCAGTGAGGCTGCAGGGTGCCTGCCCACCCTGTCGTGCCCCTCCCTGGGAAGCACGTCCCAGGGCACCCTGCTTTGGCCTAGATGAACATCATGGCTTCAGTGCCCTGTCTGGGGATTCTCCTGTCAGAATTCCCCACCCTTATTGGGAGGCAGACAGGTCTAAGATTTGGGAACCCTCATCGCAGAAAGCAAGCAGCTACTTCACTGGTAACCCTGGGATGGAAGAGAACCAGGCTCCCGGTGAACATAGTGCAAAGCAGAAGTTGAGCCCGGGGCCCCCAGAGGAATTTAGGGCACACTCCAGGGGCAGTCACGGCCTCTGGCTTCTCAAACAAGCTGAGGATTCCTGGCCCCACCTCCAGACTGCAGAGGAGATGGGAGGTGGCCTCATCTCAAAAGGCTGGAGCTCTTTGCCCTGCCTCCTCCTCGTGTGCTGGGGTTTCCACCCCAGTGCTGAGCTTGCTGGGCTGAGCTCTCTCACAGAAGGAATGACCAGACACACCGAGCAGCGCCAAGAGGAACTGGATTACAAGGACTTGGGATGAACAGAGAGACACAGAACCCACACTGGCCTCTGACACCTCATGCCCCAGTGCCGTCTTTCCTCCAGCCCGTGGCCTTGACTGGGCTTCTGAATCCCAAGGTGGGGAGCAGTCTGGGGAGGCTGGAGCTCCAGCCCAGGCCCAGGGCTTCCAGACCCTGCTCTGAGTCCTGGGGTCAGTGACCTGCACTTTGGGCCATAGCTGCCTCCATCTGAGGAGATAATACTGGCCCAGAAGCCTGGGCTGAGGGCAAGGGTGGCTTGGAGGAGAAGGCATGGAGTGAGCAGGGCCCTGGACAGGGTGGGGGGCTCTGGTGGGCGACACAAGCCCGGCTTCCCCAGATAAATACAGCCAGAGACTTCCTGAGCAGGGTATGCCCTGTCTGAAGGGCCAGGTGAACAGAGGGGCCAAGTTGGGGGACCCTCACCTCCTTCTCTCTGCGATTTGTCCAGTCGGCGTGTGGCCCTGCCTTTGGTCTCCCTTCTCTTCTCTCTGTTGAAGTTTTGGGATGCCTTTCCCCAACCCCTACTCCCGCCCTGACACTGTTAACATCCTGAAAAAAATAGTTACACACCAAAACTAAATAAATAAGATGATGCCCCATAGGGATAGGTGAGGGGAGAACAGAATCCCTACAATCAGTGGTCAGGCCGTAGGAGCTGCTGCCCGGGGCAGGGGCCTCCTCAGAGCTGGGAGCTTCCGCCTGCGGAGCGCGGGCCCGCCTGGCTCAGCGAGCGGCAGCTGATCCTGCGGATGGAGTGCAAGGCCACGGTGCAGCAGCCCCGCAGCAGGGAGCTGATGTTGTAAATGGGCTGGCCCTGGCGCCGCTGGGAGCGGCAAAGCCAGGCCACCGTGGGCACAGCTGGTACCACCACAGCCAGCAGATCCACGATGTAGTGGCGGCTCCAATAGCTCTTGGGCTCCTTCTCAGCTGTAGCTGTGGCTGCCTCTTCCTCCTCTTCCATGGGGCACACCACGCTCACTGACAGCCCAGGGTTGGGGTTGGCACCGGGCCGCTGTGGGGTGGGTCCGCGGGTGATGGGCTCCGGGGCCTCCAGCTCGTCACCCACTGTCACCACCACTGCTGAGTTGGGGTCTCTGGGCGCTGGGGGGTGGGGGTCTAGCTCTGGGCGCCTGTCCCCTGACTCAGGGACTGTCCCACAGACCTGGGCCTGGGTCACTTTCTCCAGGATGGTGTCCAGGTCAGGCTGATACTGCACGAAGTCTGTCTGGATGGCACGCTCCTGCATGCAGCTGGCCTGCACACCGGCCTCCATGCCGCACAGCAGCTTCTCGTAGGTGTTGCTGGCAGGGAAGCGGGGGCCCAGGCCGAAGGAGCTGTGCAGCGAGCCCTCCTCCGGGCCGCAGTCCACCCCCGATGACAGCAGGCTGCTGGCCTCCAGTGCATCCGTCCTGCTCAGTGTGTCGTCAGCTGCCACGTAGCCACTGTCAGCCCCGTCCTCGGTGAAGGAGCCGGTGGGGTCCCCAGGCTGGCGGTCCCCACAGACAGCCGGGTCACTCAGCTTGGTGTAGGTGGAGCTTCGGGTGAGGGAGCGGGCGGGGGACCCACCAGCCGACTCGCCGGTGCCATCCTCCTTGGCTATGCCGTTCTGGGCCACCTCCATGCTGTGCAGCAGCGTCTCCAGCTTCTTGTTTTGGATGTTGATGTCCACGAAGTACTTCTGCAGCCCCTTGTCCTTATCAATCAGGTTGTTCTTGACAGTGTCGATGACCTGCTTGAGCTGCTTGATCTCCTTGCGGGCCTCCTTCAAGGCCAGCTGGGCCTCCACACGGTGGCACTCCTCCTCGATCCAGTCCTCTTGCATGCGTGACAGCTGCGTCTTCAGGTCATCGATCTCGGTGTCCCTGTGGGCAGAGGAGACACACACATGCTCACTGCCTGCCTGGTCTGTCCCCACCAAGGACGGCGTCTGCAAAGATGAAGGGCCCTGTGCTGCTGCTGCTCAGAGCCAAAAACAGAAGGAAGGATCCGACACCCGGCGCCCCTTCCTTTTCATTCCACAGGGAGGAGCGAATGTGGGTGGGGAGAGGGGCTGATGAGTGAAGACAGGAGAGGCCCCCACCTGGGAGGAGAAATGTCAGTAGGAGACACGGCCCACATTCCCACCCCCTAGAAGCTGAAATGCAGATGACTGTCAATGTTTAAATCCATCATCTAGAGAAGAGACTCAACAACAAAGATTTTTCATTTGTAAGAGAAACTGCCATAAAAATCTGATAAAATTTTAACATAAAAAAACAAAAACTAGGCAGAAAATCTCTGCTCTATAGAAAGGGATGTGGCCTCTTAGCAAAGCAGGCTGTGAACATTTTGAATGAAAGGATATTTGGATAGAGACCACTGGGGAGAGGGCAGTGGATTGCTTTGTTTTTATGGGAGAGATGACCGTCTTTGATGTGGGGGTGGGGAGCTGATAATTTTACATCATCCCAAGTGGAGGGATGGGAAGTGGTGGATGGAGCAAAACAGGGTGGCTCTCTTTTATCTATGCTGTAAGTTTCTTCTTTGTAGTCACAGCTACCATAAAGAGGAAAGGCACAGAGTCACTTCTGAGAGAAGGGGCAAGTGCCAGGCAAACAGGACAATCAGAAGACTCTCATCCAGAAACGGTCAGGATTTTTCAAACCCCCAAGTCACAGATGAATGCAGAGGCACAGGGGAGGGAGGGAGATGAATTAGAAAAACGTCCCATCAAGTCTAGAGGTAAAACCAGAGCAAGGTTGAACGGGGACACAGTAAAAGTAGTGAGAAAAGTGGAAAATCATTCACGAGACTTAAAATCCTGCCCTGGGCATTCTTCCTCCAGCACACTTCCTAGTGACACAGTCCACAGGCAGCCACTTGGCCAAAACCACTAATTCCACACAAATAAAATCCACAAATGGCACGGCTGTCACTTTGGGGTTTACGAGCCCAGCAGAGTGAATATCCCACATCCTTTTCAAAGTCAGATTGGCAATTCCATTCAGGAAACGGGCCCAGAATCTCATTCCTCAATATGCTGAAGGGACTGGGACTGAGAGGCTACAGTGGCCGCAGAGTCAGCAACGGTGTCGCCTGGAAGGGGATCACTCCACAGGACACAACTCAGCAATGGCAGTGAGGTGGCAGCAGTGAGCCGGATGGAGCTGCTTAGTGTGGCAATAACAGTCACAGTAACAGGCATGGGGGAAGATGCTTGTTCTTCACTCCCCCTGCCCCAGAGTAGTGGCTCACTCTAGGGTAACCCGGCCTCTCACACCCACTCCTTACTCATACCTTGCCCCGGACGGACAAGTAAGTTTGGAAGAAGGAACTCGGCATACTCAGCTTGGCTGGTCCCTGGCCCCCTCCCCTTGGAGCCAGCCAGTCCCCAAGGAGCTGTAGCTTCCAGCCCTGCCTATGCTGCAGTGGATCTCAGGGCATCACATCTGAACTGAGTCTTGAAGGGCGGGTTTGCCAAGGAAGCAAGACGGGGGACAGGGCATCTCAGGTGGGATAGGATATGAAAACACAGAGGTGTAAAAGCACACAGTATCTTTGAGGAGCAGAAGGTAGGCCACTGTGGGAAGTACAGGTATGAAACCCAAAACGTAGAGTGTGAGGAGTGACAACGCAGCACATAAAGAACGGCCACAGGATCCCGTGGAAGCAACGGGCAGAGACTGGGCAGGGAGTTGAGGTGTGGGCACGCCCACGACAGGGCATCCTGCCCAAACCACACAGGGCGACGGTCTGCTCTGAGCCATAGGGCTGGCCCTAGAAGTGACGCTGGGAGATGGGCCATCTGTTCCCTGAGGGCTTTAGTGCAAAAGGCCAAGCAGACCCAGGGCAGCACTAGGAAGATGAGGGGAAATAAAAATAGAAATCCCAGCTCTGTGACAAGGAGGCTCACAGAGCACCGCCTATACCCTCCTCAGTTCAAAAACCACAGCAAATCCAGACTGGACTGGCTACTTGGCAGAGCCGTGTGGCCATGCATACTGTATGACCCATTTATATGGAACGTCCAGAATAGACGAATCTACAGAGATGGACAAACGAGTGGTTTCCAGGAACTGGGGTGGGTGAAGAGAAACACGGTAGTGATTGTGCTAATGGGAATCGGGTTTCTTTTTGAAGTGATATAAACACTTATGGGGGCCAGGCGCAGTGGCTCGTGCCTGTAATCCCAGAACATTGGGAGGCTGGGCTGGGGAGGTAGAGGCTGGGAGGATCAGGACTGAACACCCTCATGGTCTTGAGCAGGAGCTCAGACGGGCCGTGGGGCTCCTGGGAGGCCTCTGGGCGCTCAGTGAAAGGTTTCTCTTGAACGTGCGTCAGCTACAAGCAGGAAGTAGATGAGGAGGGCTTCTGGGGCCTGAACTGGTGAGCAAGAGCCCCCTGGTGACTCACTTGGGAGGAAGCAAAGGAGGGATGAAGGGTTGCTTCTCCCTGTGCTCCAACTCCCCAGGCAGACAGGAGCCAGGGATAAGAAGTGGCCCACAGGGGCTGCCAGGCTGGAGCTGGGAGAGGACTGCTGCAGGTGGGGGCCCGACGGGACAGGCCCTCACAGGAGAAACCACTCCCTGCCTGGCCCCCAACAGCCAACTGGAGCAGTCGAGGTGAGAAGCTGGAGTGGGGTGTCTGCAAACGGGCTCCGACAAGGCTTTGCTGGGGAGGAGGGAGCAGGTAGATGCTGGGAGGACTCCAGCCACTCCTCCCTCCCAGAGGCAACCCAGGCGTGGGTCCCTCTAAGTGTGGAGCTGGCAGGTTGTTCCCAAGGCTGCCACTGGCTACCCGCTCACCGATCCTGGAGCCGGTCCTGCGTGTCCTTCAGCCGGGCCCTCAGGTGCCGGATGCACACTTCCTTCTGCTGCAGCGGAGTCAGGTACTGCTCTGGGGTGGGAGGCTTGATGCCATGGTTGTCGCTGCAGAGTGTATACTTTATGGAGCGCCTGCAAGGGGACACCCGTCATCAGAGAGGGAGGAAGAGGTTGGGCAAAGCACAGATGTTGTGCCTCTGGGGAGCAAGGGGAAGCCAGCCTAACCATCCTTGTCCCCTGACCACCAGACGGCTCTAAGCCAGGCCTCCTGCACAGGGCCCATGTGGGCATGTGAATACCCAGCCTTCTGGAAGGTGGGTTTTAGTAAAGCTCTTGTAAGGGAGGACATAGTGTCAGGGTGGGGACTCAGGGTTCCTCTAGTTAGGGTGGGAGTCATACCCCAGAGCATGTGTGTAAGCCCAGCACCACGCCAAGTGCTTGACCAACCCTGTCAGTCCTTACAGCTGCCCTGGCAGTAGGGATTGCCTTCATCTTTCAGAGGGGCTGCTGGCCTCATGAAGGTTAACTCTTGCCCAGAGCCCCACAGACAGCCCCAGAGACTGACTGGTGTCCCCCAGAACCCAGCCCAGAGAATGAGTTTGAAGGCTGGAGGCTTGGGTGGGAGGGGCAGACTTGGGTCTGCTTGGTGGACAAGGACTCACCTGCTGCAGAGGAGGAAACGTCTCCCAGGGTGGAGGGAGAAGCTCTCCTCTCTGGAGGCGATAGCCCTCACAGCCTGGGCACAGGGAGAGCAGGCACGGGTGTGCGGGCACCTACACTCTCACTCCTCACCCACACTCAAGTACACAACGGTGTGTACCACATGTACACATGCTTACTAGGAGTGCATGTCTGAGTATGTTGATCCCAGTCCATTTGCACCTGCACACCCACATGTGTGAGTGGATACACACTCGTGCCTGCATGTACCCACCATCTTGCTGCCACCCTCAGTGGCACTCACATGTACTAGGACACCAGCCCACGCACATGTTTACATGTCCACGCTCTGGGGGCACATGTGAGCACACACGTGAACACCTATTAGCTCTGGGCATGGACTCGCCAACAGCAGTACCCTGAGGTGTCAGCAGGCTGGATGTGCACTGCTCCCAGCGCGGGGTGGCACCAGCATTGTGTGTGTAGCACCCTGACCCCAATAGTACAAAGGAGGAGGAATTTCCACCCAAAGGGCAGTGAGGCACCACTCAGGGAGGCAGGGCCAAGGCTTTCACAAGGAAGGAGAGCACCCCAATTCTACAACACACTAGGTGGTAATTCTACAACAGGCCGCCTCTGCTCACAGCTTCCTCGCTGCTGGCTGTCCTGTTCATAAAGAAACCTCCTTGGGTCTTGGCTTAAAAACCTGGGCGTGTTTTCGTGCAGTTAGAGACTCCGGCCTTGCTGCCATCCAGCTCTGCTCCTTTAGAGGATGGGGACCCCTAGGTCTAGGGAGGGGCAATGATCCTTTACGGGCTGAAAAAGACAGGCCATGGTGATGCCCATTTGCTGAAGCAGCCAAGTTGGAGGTGGTTTTTAAAGTTTTACAGAAGCTGTCTAATGTTTATTGAGGAAAAAGTATTTGTAAATTATAAACTATTGAAGAGAAAGTGGTGATAGAAGAGGAAAGAAGGAAAGAAGGAGAAATTGTTTTCGTCTATGTACTCACCTTGCAGTCCCTAAGTTTACCTCAAGCAGGCCTGTTTTCTGCCTGGCAAGGGGCAGAGGAGTGGCATTGTTTGGGGAGCTTGGGGTCCCCCTTCTGGTCTAAAAAATCTATCTCCAAAAGAGAAGCAAGCAACGCAGGTCACCCTGAAGCTCCACACGCTAGTCCTGCAGTTATCCTCCTACCCTGCAAGGACTCTGGCTAGAGGGGCACAGATCTGTGATGAGTAAAGGGATGCCTGGGTGTGGGGTGGGTGGTGGTAGTGGAGGAACCAAAATTAGTCAAACTAGTAAGAATCAGAGAGGATTATAGAGGAAATAACTATTTTAAATTTTTCTATTTGCATTCATGAGTATTTTTTCCCAACATAACATTTCTCACTCATACATTTTTAGTCACTAGCTGTGTGTGTGTGTGTGTGTGTGTGTGTGTGTGTGTACGTGCGTGTATAAAAGTATATACCTCAACAAAGAAGAAAAATATGCTTTAATGCATGTCTCTCAGCTGTTCCTGCCTTGGAAAGCCTGGCTGTTTGCAGTGAGGCCCTAACCGAGGCTCTCTGCTCACCTAGGGGCAGCGACCCTCATGGTGGGCAAGACAAAGACCCTTCCACGGAAGGAGTTCTCAGTCTTGGGGTTGAGATTGCCCTTATGGACTGCAGTGATGAGATGTGTTACAAAAATCTGTTACTAATGAAGAAATATTAAATTTTTCAATTCTATGCTTTTTAAAATATAAGTTAACACATCATTTTCATGTCCCCCTTGGGGGTGGAGTGATGACCAGGATGCTGGGGCACGGGCTGTGCACACAGTGTGCTACCCATCGCACGTGTCATGGTGGAAAACTCTGAGAACTGCTGCTTCAGTGGCTCCAGACATCACTTCATACACATGACATCCTCTTCACTGGAAGAAGCAAGACAAGCGCGCCCAGGAGGTGCCCCAGCCATGGGAGTATAGGCTGGGTGTCTCCTGGCCTTCTCCTGCCCAAGACCCTTAACTCAGACCAGAGCCCTAACAACAGCAGTTATCAGCTATTGGCCAGCTAGGATGTGCGGGCAGCGTGCAGATATCAGCTCCACTTTACGGTTTAGAAAATGGCGACACTGAGACAGTAAGTGACGGAATCCAAAGCCTACCCTTCTTGATCTCCCACTTGTATCTCAATGCTGGGAACACAGAAATGAGGGCTGCCATGACAGCTCTTGCTTCCTGGTCTTCAAGGACCTTTCACCTGCCTCTCCAACCTGATCCTGCTTTGGGAGTCTCGGTCCACCACAATTTAGCATGTGCCGCATTTGTAACACATTTCACCTTCCAAACCAACTCCACCTCTGTCACTCTCTAAGTGTCCCCCTGAAAAGAGCAAGAAGGCAGACACTGCTAGATGCCTCCCAATGTCCATCTTGCCTTCTTCCCAGAACCCCAATTTTGTTTGGGGTGGCATTGTACTGGGAAAATGCTAACCCTCTCTGCACTAACTGGCCCTGCAGCTAGAGTTAGTCCCAGTTCCGGCCAGCAAGGTGTAGGCAGAATCGCCTGGGGAAGATGTCCCTTCTCAGAAAAAACAACCTCTGAGGGGGAGTTTTGGTCCTTTCTGTCTTGCTCCTTCCCAGGTGACTGACCTGATACCTGGAGGTACAGGAGCCATCTTGTGATGACGAGGACAGAAGCTGCACACCAAGGATGGTGGAGCAGGAAGAGAGAAGGAGATGGGATTCTTGACACTTCAGGGAGCTGCCTACCTCTGGCTCACTGTTCTGAAAGCATCACTGCTAGTTTGTTTAAGCCACTGGTTAAGTACAGCTAGGCATTATTATATCCATCCTACAGACAGGAGCTGAGTCTCAGAGTGTGCTGGGGTCGGGGATGGTCAGAACACCACACAGCTCCCCTACATACCCCACCCCGGAGCCACCAGGTTGCCAGCCAGCGGGGCCAGGCCTGGAGGGGAGGGGAGGAGCCGGTTACCTTGGTGTGGGGCTACTGTCGCTGCCCTTGCAGGAGCCTGAGTTGCTGCTGCTGCTGAGGGAAGAGGTGCCGTAGGCATCCCGCACGCTCACAGGTGGAGAGGTGCGCCTGGAGGCAGGGAGAAGAGGCAGGTGCTCGTTCTGGCTGGTGGGCAGCTGCGGACACTGGGCGAACACTGCCAGGCCGCTGCGGCCCAAAGGGCCCCCACTTCGGGGTCACCGCCGGGGAGAGAAGCAGGGACAGAGGGGAACGCACAGACGGGGGTGACAGAACAGACAGTGCAAATCAAGATGGAAAACCAGAAGGAGGCTGGCCCTCCTGGCTCCCCAGGGATAAGGATGGAGGCTGGGCAGGGCTTCGGGCCAAGGGTGGGGCCCCATCTGCCCTTATGAATGGTTCTCAACTTCCAGTGTCCACCAAACCCAAGGAGGGAGAACTCTGTAAGGACTGAGACAGAGGTGGAGAAGAATGGGGCAGACAGGAGTCAGGACAGGAGGACAAGCCCACAGGGATGAAAAGCAAGGGAGGCCAAGTGAGCCTGAGTGGATGCTGCATGACTTCCCTCCAGTAAGTATGAAAATCAAACAACAGCATTGGTGAGGCTGGTACTGGTAGGAATCCAGTGGTTTACGCCTTCAGAGAACTTTCATATTCACTGTGTCATCTGAACCTTAAATAGCTCCAGATTTGCTCAAAGACACACTGCAAGTCAGTGGCAGGTGGAGACAGAGGCCCACCCCCAACTCCCACCCTCTGAAGCCAAGGTTCTGGGCAAGGGGGAGACTTACCTGCGGGATCCAGCAGAGGCCCGTCTACTCCCCGGCAGGGACATGGCCATGAGGCTGCGGGTCCGGGTAAGGGGCGGGATAGGCGGTGTCCCCGGGGCTGAGGAGAGAGGGCGGGTTGGGGGTGCCGCGGAGAGGGCCGGGCCGGGCCATGTCATCCTCTCGCTGGGGCCGCTGCCCGGCATGGCTTCTCCTCTCACCCTTTGCAGGACACCCCAGGACCCAGCAAGGGCCTAGCAGGCCACAGCTGTCTCCACCAATGAGTTTAATGGGGCTGGTGCACAGGTGCCTGCCACCCAACTTAAAATACAATTATCAGAGCCTCAGGGGCAGCGAGAAATCATCAGTCCAACCCAGTGTCCTCCAGATGAGTGAGTGCGCCCCAGGAAGAGCGAAGGCCTGGCCTGAGGTCACAAGGGCTTCAGGGGCAGGGTCTCCTGGGCAGCGGCCAGCACCGAGTCTTCTAGTCTACCAGCCAGCCTGCTTCTTGCCCAGGTCCCTGACGCTCAGACTCCCACCCCCCCGTGCTGTCCAGTCCTCCCTCCTTGGTGGGGGCTGTAGGCTGGAGGACTCCTGGAGCAGGACCAGGAACCCCAAATTAGGATGGGCTGGTCTCGCCGACCATCACCTTCCCAGTTGGCGCGTAGTTCAGGGCTTCCCGTCTACAGGGGAGACAAGACAGACCAACATACCAGCACATGTGTAGAAAAACATATGGATACGAGCAAACACGAAAAGGTACCATGCCCCTGCCATTCCAAGACGTGCCACACATGTCTCAGTGAACGTGCTCAGGCAGCTTGCCCACGCCGAAGGACATGCAGCTGGGCCCTCCCACTCCCATCCGTGCAAATGCGCATGCTGATTTTGGCATATCCCGGGAACTTAGGGCATGCACTCAGAGCAGATGAGGACTAGGGTGGGTGGGAGCAGAAGCCCTCCCCTGGGGGAGTCCCAGCAGGTGGATCCAGTAGGAAGTGTCCTTCTGGCTAAGCGGGCAGGCAGACTGGGCCCTCTGGCTCCTGCCCAGGAGTCCTTAGACCTCTCTCCTGGGTAGGGGGGTTGGGCCCAAGGGCAGCCCTACAGGGGCTTAAGGAGGGGAGAGTCCCCACGCTGGCTGGATTTGGACTGTTGTGGGGAGGAGGCTAAGCTGGGCATCATCTCAGAGCTCCCGGAGTTTGAGGTAGAGGGGCCTGGGCTCTTTGCAGCCAACGTGCTGGTCCTGTGCCAGCTCCAGAGACTTCAGTTCCCTCCTTCCACGCTAAGAGCAGGGACTGAGGACAGCAGCCTGGTTACAGGAGACTTGGCTGAGGATGTCATACCCCGGACCACCCCACATGCTGTGAGAGAAGCGCTCACTGAGCCCCACTCCACACCCGACCCCATGCCAAGGACGTTACGTACATTACACCATTGACTCCTCCCAACAGCCCTATGAGGAAGTGCTGTGATTAGTCCCCTTTTACAGATGAGGAATCTGAGCCACTGAGAGGGAAGGGACTTGGCTAAGTCGCATCCCAGGTGTGTGGAAGGGCCAACATCCAAACCAGGTCAACATCAGATGCTGAGGGGCTGGATCTCAAACCCTGGAGTCCCCAGCCCAGGCTCCACCTCCTTCCCACATCGGGGCCTCCCAGGAGGAGCCTGGTCGTCCTGGCCAGTGGCGGGGCTGCCTCCTGAGCGGACAAAGGCACCGCTCAGATGGCCTGTTTCCTGGCTGTTACACAGAACATGGCCTGTTCCCCTGGAGGGCCGGGACACAGCCAGCATTGTCTGCCCAGAGGTGTCGGGTGCTGGGCTGCAGGAGCTGCTGACACCATGCCCGTCACCTGAGCTGCTTGCCCCAGCTTGGCAACACTTCCCACCCGTCATGCCGCAGTCGCCTAGGCGGGGCCTCCTGGAACCCTAGGGCTGGCCTCCAGAGCAGGAACCATGGGGCAGGGGCAATTTGAGGGTGGTAACAACAGCGTTCCTCCACACTTGTTAGGATGGCCATAAATGGCTCCCTGCCTCCTGGGCACAGGAGGACCTTGACCAGGAACAGCTGGGTGGTGTGGGCAAGGGATGATAGTCTTCCCTCGTGGGTGGCCAAGGGCTTCAAGGATCACCTGTCATTGATTGAATCCTTCTGTGGCAAGGCGACCATGCTGAGCACCTTCATGTGCCTCGGCCCATTACTTCAAATCCTTCCAGGTACTTTGTTATCACATTTGGGCCCAAGGTCACATAGCTGCAGGTGCAATGGGCTCTGGTTTCTAGCCCAAGTCGGCCTGGCTTCGCTGGCCACTCTCCCATCATCACTCCCTTCCTTCTGGCTTTCGGAGGGTGCAGAGAGGAGGCTGTGCTTTCTGGAGGACTTCTCAGCACAGGCAGGACTCACATCTGAGGCTGGGCCTCTCTCTTCCAAGCCAGCCTGGGTGAGTGTTGCTAAGGAGCCAGAAAAGCCCAGGTGGAGTTCTAGCCTAGGTCCTGGGAGGCAGGCAGGATGCCTGGTTTGCCTTGGAGCTGCATGTGGCCTTGGTACAATGAGGGCTTTGTCCCAGCTGTCCCTGCTACTACCTTGCTTGGCAACCCCATGCCTCCCTTCTCTTGAGTTCCCTCTTCCTTCCTCGCTGGCCTGGGGGAGAGAAGGAGGTAGCATTTGTACCTGGGTGCAGCTGACAGTCTCCTGGGAAGCCAGAACCAGCTACTCATCTGGGACAGAGGTGGAAGTGGCATTTCCCCCGCTGGGATGGGACCAAGTAGGCAGGGTCCCTCATGGGAGGGCAGAAGCCACCCAGGCCCGAAGGGAGACACCTTTCCAGGATCCTGTGCAGAAGCCTCAGGTCCTGAGGCTGCCCTGTGAGAGCTCAGGTCCTCCCTCCCCTCTAGGCCCCAGAGAGGAGGCAGGTTGCCATGGTGTTTGTCACCATGCCACCTGCTCAGCCTGGAGTCCCAGGGGCCTGTCCCCAGGTGGCCAGAGGTTGCTACTCGAAATGGAAGGTGGAAAGGAAGCCCTCAGCCATGGGGAGCTAGGCTCCTGTCACTTCAACTGGAGTAAACTCAGCCCCTCCTCGCTCCAGCCTCCCTCCATTTCCCCACCTCGGCCACACCATAGCAGCCCTGCTCCATCTACCCCTTTGCTTGGTCCCTCCCATGTTCAACATTTCATGAAGGCCGACAATGGGGGTCTAGGGGGTACAGCAGGGTCCAGGAACAAGACACTTAGGATGCAGAAATTGAGTCAAAAAGATCTGGGCTCAAATACCAGCTCTGTCACCCTTCAGCTGCATGTCTTGGGCAAGTCACACCATTTCTCTGAGCCTTAGTGTCCTCATCTGTAAGTGGGGCTGTAATGAAATGCATCTCATATGGTTACTGTGAGAATAACATGAAATAATGCAAGCATGGGGCTTGGGTCAGAGCCTATCACACAATGAACATCAAAAATGGGAGCAGCCAGTATGTGGGAAGTAATAATGTGAGCTTCAAAACAGAAACACATTCAAAGCGTAATAATAATGGCCTCAGGATGATCAGGGAAAGCTTCTCCAAACAAGAAATTTGTACTGGGTCTTGATGGATGAATAGGATTCAACCGGCAGATAAGCAAGTGAGAGGGAAGGAGAAGCCTGGACAAAGGCAGTGAGTAATTTGACAGCATGGCTTCTCAGGAAACTAGGGGCCCCTGGTGACAGCAGAGGCACAGTGTGGATAAGGCTGCAGGAGGCGGGGCCAGACCACAAAGAGCCACTTAAGCCAGGATCTTGTACTTCAGGCAACAGGAAGGCATGGAAGTGCTTTAAAGGGGAGGGGCATAATCAGATTTGCATTGTTTTTTTTTTTTTGAGACAAGGTTTCGCTCTAATCACCTAGGCTAGAGTGCAGTGGTGTCCTCATAGCTCACAGCATCCTCAAACTCCTGGGTTCAAGACATCCTCCTGCCTCAGCCTCCCAAGTAGCTGGGACTACAGGCACGTACCACCATGCCCGGCTAATTCTTTTTTACTTTTTTATAGAGATGGGATCTCACTATGTTGCCCAGGCTGGTCTAGAACTCCTGACCTCAAGAGATCCTCCCACCTCATGCTTCCAAGGTGCTGGGATAATAGGTGTGAGCCACCAGGCCTGGCCCAGATTTGCATTTTATTTTATTTTTTTGCTCCCCACCCTATCCTCCAACCAGATTTGCATTTTAGAAAGCCCCTGGGTGGGGAGCCTGTGTGGAGTAGGGCTGGAAAAAGACAAGACTAGAGGGAGGGAGACCAGTTAGGAGGTCACTAAAAACTCCCAGGGGAGAAATTAGGTGGGCCTGGGTCAGGGCTCTAGCAGGAGCAAAGAAGAAGAGGGCCCGGATCTTGCTCACATTTCCTCAGAGGCCCCAATTAAGTTAAAATTAGAGCAAAATTCTTGATCCTGGTGGTCAAGCTCTCCCACCTACACCCTTTCCAGCTGGCTCTCTGATGACCCCGGCAGGCTCCTCCTAGTCACTCCCAGCTCCATGTCGCTTCGCAGGCTGTCTGCCCTGCGTGCGGCACCTTCCCTGGATGTCCTCATGCACATAGCATGCTCTGTGGGCTCTGCCTGCAGCTTTTCCCCCTGGGGACCTCTCCCACCACTTACTGTCTTGACCAGTTAGCATGCCATGCCTTGAATTGAAACTCAGGGAACACCCGAGTGTTCCCCCTGGGGAATTTCATAAAAACAAACACAATCAACACACAACTGTTAGTAACACAATGGTCTAAACAGGCACATTTGATAGACCAAGGAGTTGGATTAGATGGTCTCTAAGGTGCCTCTGGATCTCACATTCTCTGATTCTAGGGCTGTAAATGAAATGATGGACTTCTAATTGGTGTTTTCTGTCCCTTCAATTACTAGGACTCTTAGGTCTCAATTTCCACATCTGTAAAATTAGGAAGCCACTTTCTTCAAAGAGACATGACAACATTTTACTCAACAGCAAGTCATGGGGGAGAAAGCAGGTGCTTAGGTTAATCTAATATTCTAGCTAAGCAAAAGTCCCTGTATGAACTATAAATTATCTTTTTTCAAAGAATTAGACATCAATAAAAGAAGAACGCTAC